TAATTGCAGATTAATTTCTCAAAAAAACCCCCAAACCTCTGAGGTCTAGCAGTGGTATTATTCCCTACCAATATGGAAGTTGTAGTTGACAAAATACAATTATTGTTCACCGTGAAATTGGTGTTACTAACTCACTGGAATTGCATCCTAAATGTGTAATTAGAAAAAAAAAAAATTCAGTACTTGTTCATACAATGTGTCTCTGTGAGAAATTTTGCTTGAATTTATAGATAATGGCTGTCTTAATTATAAGTAAGATATTAGTTGTTTAGAAATGACACCTGAATTTCTAACCTTGTTTCTGTAATACTTGGAGCTGTTGAGTAGCGTAAAATTTAGTGTAGCCCTGAAGGAGGAGTTAAGTTCATAATGGAAATGGTTTAGTAAATGGACATCGTATGCAAGCAATATGGTATAAAGTAAAATCTTTGTTCTCCAGAGGTAGTTAACTAAAGATTTATTGTCTCCGTAGCCACATTTAAGGTAAAAACATGAAGGAACCTCTCTTGATTTTTGTGCTTTCTAGAGCATGAAGAGGATTTGACATATTTCAGACCTGTCCTAATCAGTTACTTCATAGAAATATTTTACTTTTTTTCAGACCAGTTCTTTTCCTTATGTCACTTTTCAAGGACTGTGAAAGTTTTTCTTTAGTACTAGAAAAATAAGTACAAGTTTCATTTATAAGCTGGCTGCAAAAGCTGATATTTTTCTCATTCAAGCAATACCTAGAACGGCTCTCCATCAGAAACTTTTTCTGTCAGAAGTTTTTTGCTTTTTAACCTCCATTTATGATACTACAGTTACTAAAGAGTGCATTATATCGAAATGACTTTCAGAGAAATTAGCCCATCAATGCAGTGGGCTATTTATTAGCTTTGTCTGTGCTTGGGCCTTTCTGTAAGCAGATTTTTTTTTAATAGAATTTTAATAGGATTTGTGGTCTGTCATTACTGTGAAAAAATACAGGTTTCTCTTGTTTCATGAACTAGCCTTGCGAGACTTAATGATGGAAACTCAGGTATTATTTTGAAAAAAAAGTATTTTCTGTAATAGTGATTTCTGTAGTAAATCTGCTTCTTATTTATATCAGTCAGTGGTAAGTGAGCTCAGCAGAGCTGAGGATGTTCTCAAGAGGAGGAAAATAAAACGAAACACAAAAGCAAATCAAGAAGGAACAGAAAAACATATTAAATATTGGTTTTGGAGTCCCTTATAATTCTGTAATTATTAGACTATCTTTTAAGTGTACTGAATAAATGTGACATGCAGTAGTTAGACTGTTTCTGAGTTCTGAAAAGTGGTATGGAGGTGTTCCAAAAAGCACATTATTTAGATTTTCTATGGTAAGGACAAGGGATTTCTGAACCTATGAATTCGGAAAATAATTGAGTTTGTCTTTTTTTTTTCTTCTGCTTCTTTGTTCCCCTCTTTCTCTTTGCTCTGTAGAACCTAAATAAACTCAGCTTGCCAAATGAGATTATCTTTCTGAATTAAATCTCCATGGAGAGTGGTATTCTTAGTGCAAATGGCTCATAAATAACCATTCTCTAATTAGAGTGAAATAACTCAGAGTTGCTGGAATGTTCCTTTCAAGGTACACTTTGTATGAACTCTGCTGTGGGTTCACATACATCCCACGCATGTGGATTGCCTTTCTTGTTTGGGTGTATCCGTTGGGAATTCATCTGTATCCCAGGTGCCCTGATTGTGTAAGGGACAAACCAAGCCCTTTCTTTTCTTTGCTTACAGCACAGACAGAAACCTAGTAAAGCCTGTTTAACATCTTATTATTAGTCTAGATAATGTCTAGAGTGTCGTTGAAATTTTTCCATGTGCCAGCTTGCTGTGCCCTAAACAAGATCCCTAAACAATGGACATGACACTATACAACATTATTTGAATAATAGTTATAAAGCACCAGCTCAGTGAGATTGAGTGAGCATAGGTGTACTCTTCAGAATGTAGAAAAATTAAGTGAAAGCTCTGTTCATTTCAGTAAAATTGATGTCTAGGAACCAACTAACTGGTAGTCTAGATTTGCTTCCTTTGGTAATGCAGTGGTGTATTTGGGTTGCTTCCCAAGCCAAAATCCTTATTGTAGTATGGTTGAGGCACATACTGCTTTAATACCAGTACTCTTGCATTGGTGTCACTGTGTGTGTTTTCAGTGCTGATGTTAAGAGTTTCTGGCAGTGTGCAAACAGTGCAAGAGAGGAAAAGTCTTGATTCTGCTGTGTACATCACTCCCAAGTGGAAGCCCTGTACATCAGTGGAGTGAGCCAAGCAGGGACTTCTTGCTCTAGAGTAATGTCATCTATCATACACAAGGACTAAAGCTAGATAAAATGAGTTTTCCACAATATGGTTTAGGTATTTAAGAGAAGATACTGGTGATGGGTCTTAGAACTCCAAAACCAAATGAACTGTCGGAGTAAAGACTTGAGACAGTGAAAACAATTGTTGGTTTAGTAATTGTTTTGTAATACCTATGTTCTCAATTTAATTACTTAAAGCAAAATAATAATCCAAGGTGTAGTAGTGCTGGAATGGCATTCAAGACCACTGGGGAGGTTTAGGAAAGCAGATGTTGAATATTTCAGAATTTAGAGTGTAATAATCTAACTCCTAGGATGGGGTGTAAGAAGACCAGAGAATTTCTTAAATTTGTGTTATCGTTGGAGCAACTGCTGTATAGTCTATATATGTTCTATTTTGTAGCTGTCTTCTCAAATTCTTGTACTACTGGACTATTTTGTTCTTTTTCTTTTTTACTCCAAACTGTTGTGCTTAATAAGCTTATTTAAAATCCAGGCGGAAGCTCTAAACCCAGATATTGAAAAGCTCAGAGAACAGGCATTTGGATCATCCTCAGTATGAAGTCTGCCAAGGAACTTCATATTATCTCTGGGAGATCTAATTGTTCCTTCATGCTCTAGTGTCTGCATCTTTTTCAGCTGCATTGGAATCTAGGTATTTGAGTAATTGGAGTCAGAGCTATTGGTCTGGCAGAACTTGGAGCCTGTCATTCCATCTTCCAGCTGTAGTCCCTGCTATTTGTATTCATGTGGTTAGTAGTACACTAGATGCAAAAAAGACAGGAACTTGACTTCTAAAACTACAAACAATTTTCTTTCTATGGATTTGTTTCTATGGAAATTTCATGGAATTTTTTTTTCCAGTCTTTCTTTTACTTGTAATATATCATACTATTAGTAAATACTGTCAGTTTTCTCTATTATTTCGTTTATGGATGAGACACAGATGTACCTCAACTGTAAGTGTTGTAATTTTTTACAACACTAAATTTTTTCTCAACTATTAGTATTGTAATTTTTACCTCATTTTCTAATGGAGTTGCCGTAAGTGAATCCTACTTTTTAACCTCTTTTAGAAATTAACAGTGGGCTGCAAATCAGGTGGAATCATAGAATGTTAATAGGTTGGAATAGGCCTTGAAGATCATCTAGTCCCAACCCCCACTGCCTTGTGCAGGGACATCTCCCATTAGACCACATTGCTCAAGGCCTTATCCAACCTGGCTTTTATAACTTCTTTTATCTGCATAAGAGTTACATGTTTTCTGTAAAGCTTAGTTTCTAGGTTTCATTTGTTTTAGGGCTGCAAATAGGAAAGTTCTATACTGTAGATTATTCCTCTCTTCAAAATAATGATTTCCATTGTCGCAGATATCAGGTTTTAGTTTTACTAGATGACATTCAGATCGTTGTCATATTTTCTGGTTTGGTGCCTGGAGTACTTCTTTAGTGTCAATATATTCCCATGTAGTTGATTTACTGAAGATTTTCAGATATTGATTATGCTTTGAATTTTACTGTTGGTATCCAGTAAAATGCCATCATGTCTTTACCCTTAGCGTAGCATTTTTAATCTTCTTTGAAAAGTTAAAAATAAAAAAAAATAATCAAAGTCACAGAGTCAAAAAACAGGCAAAACCAATCTCATATGAGAGATCAAAAGTGTTTTTCAAAAGAAATTGTCAAATCCAAGTTGGCAGAGACAGGGAGGGAAAGAATGTGTATATGCATGTTGCTTTTCTTGTCATCTTTCTTTAAAAATCCATGCTTCTTAATAAGAATACACTTCTAAAGTGTTTGTAATTTATGTTGCATTCTGTTGTTGCTTGTTTAGGTTGTGAGAGAGACTGAGGTGGGTCTTGTGCTGCTCTACTGCTGATTTCTTTAAAGGACCTGAAGGTGGTGCCTAATTATGCAAATGTTTTAGAGGTGTTTGAGGGAGAGAGACTTAGCATTTTGAAAGAAACTGAGGAACAGGAGTATGAATGACTGGTCTAATACTCTTTTTGAAGGTTTAGTCTAAGAGTCAGTGTTTACTAGTTTCATATACTTTCTGTTTTTTGATATTAAGATTGTGTATTCCAAGACCAGAGGAACAGCATCTCATTTTGTTCAATATGTGCTGCAATATCAATAATACACATGGAAGGATTTGCTTGTGTTTAATTCTGCTTTCTGTCTTACCTTTGTTTGATCTTCCATGGAGTTCTTCATTTTGGTTTCACGCAATTTAGAAATTATTTCTAATTAATAGTTTATAGCTATTTTACATTAGATTTTTGTGGAAGTTCTGTATAATTTATTACTTTATTATTGAAGTTTTGTGATTTCTTTCTTTTTTTCTTTGTTTTTCCTGGGGTTCTTTTGTTTGTTTGTTTGTTTTTGTAAAAGTAGATGTATTATCTTGTGTGGAGTGGAAGGAGAGTGTTGGGAGAGTCAGTCTTTGTCCTGCAGGAGTCTTTATTGCTATGTTGTTTAGTCCTATACACTCGCATACTTCAGCAAGTGTATCACATTTAATGTTTTTCAGAAACAGTCTTTTATGTTTTCTACAGGAGAAGGAACTTTGACATTTGGAATGAGAGAAGTCCTTGAGGCTTTCTTCTTTCTCTTTTTTCTTTTTTTTTTTTTTTCCCCCTTTTCTTATTCTGCTTGTTGATTCTGGCTTCTCCTGTGTTGCAGGCGAATATCTGGCACAATAGATGTGATTGGACAGAGCATCACTATCAGCAGGGTGGAAGGACGACGGCGTGCTAATGAAAACAGCAACATACAGGTTTTATACTCTAAATTTTCACTCTGGCTAAAAGATGGTTTTACTTTCCCCATAGCTTCTGATTAAAATATGTCAGTGTGCATGAATGAGTAATACATAAGTTCAGGAGTAAAGTTGTGGCAGTTACTGAGTATATATTAAGATGAAACATTTGATAAATTTCGAAAGATAAATATTTTGGTATGCCTCTTACTGAAAGGAAATGAGCGATATTGCAGATTTACAGTCCAGGAGACAGCATTGGCTCTGCTAGATCTGCATGGGATTAGATTTTGTTTACTGAGCGACAAAGATAAATATTTAAACTGCCCATTTGTCCCCCATTCCTGCCAGACACTAATGCTGAAAGTGAAAGCCCACTCCGATGCAGTTTGAGAAATGGCGTCTTTTAAAAATAAGTTGAGAAGTAATAAATTGTTGATAGTAGGTTGTTTTTAATTATATTGTACTATTTTACCATAAAGTGCAAGATGAGTGTTTATGATCATAGTCTTTAGACTTGTATTACATTAGGAAAGCAAGTAAATTTATTAAGATGCAATACACTTCTTCTCTCCTGAAGAATCAAGATTGCTGGGTGCCCTAGTTGCATTTTCGTGCAACTTAACTTAGGTTAAGGTTGAACAGTGAAAATAAGAATGGATTGTAGTGTTTATATTAAAAATGCTTCCATGTGGTTTTCATCTGATCTCACAATGTTTAAGTAATTTATAGTTTTGTTTTTTTTCATGCTTTTCATATTGATTTTTAAAATATTTTCCATTACCTAAATTTAAGATGGTGTTTTGGGCCTTATTCAGATGGCTTATATTCCCTCGGTAGTCTAACGTTTGTTGTCCCCTGTTGGCTGCTCTTAGACCCTAAAAAGTACTTGACAAGTATGGGACATTGAGCATAGGCATCCAGGTAGAACTTAAACCATCTGAACATGGCTCTTAATGTGATACTTTCCTGTTGTAGTAACTGGAAAGAGAGGAAACCTATCTTCTACCCTTTTCACATAGCAATTGTAACTAGAGTTTGATATTTTACAGGTTCTTTCAGAACGCTCTAATCCTGAAGTAGACAATTTTACCAAGCCACCTCCATTTTTCCCTCCAGGAGCTCCACCTACCCACCTTCCACCACCTCCTTTCCTCCCACCCCCTCCAACAGTCAGTACTGCTCCACCTCTAATTCCCCCACCAGGTAAATATCCTGTACTGCATAGGGTGTGAGTAATGAGAGATCCATTAACATCAGATGTTTGAGGTGCATTGTGCAGAATTTCAGAATTTTGTGTTCTGCACTTTTCTTAAATGTATCTGTAAGGCAGAAACAGAAACTTTTATCTTTATTTTCTCAGCATAATCCCAAGTAGTAAATAATTGCCAAGAGACTATTGGTTCTTGTGTTCTTGAAAATGTCTGAAGTGAGAAGCTGTTTTCTGTAATTCAGTAAATGTTAATGCAATTGGAAAGTACACATTAACAAATCATTCTACAAAACTAAAAGTATAGCATAGCATGAATTTGTGTAACAAGTTGGATGCTCTGATGTCTAAGGCCATAGCAGCAAGAGAACCTCTAATTCCCCTTTTCCCTCACAGCATGTATGAATTCCCAGAAGTTTGATAAGTATTGGATTTGTGCTGTATCCTTTCTTTCAGTCTGAGGTCTTATTAGCCCCTGATACTCTTTTCCAGTGTTCTGTGTCTTTGAATCTTAGAGGAATCAAAGCTTTTTGAGAACTCTTCCCATTTTTAAATCTGTTTTTAAATTTACTGGTATTTCCTGAACATTTGTTGGAACTTGATATTTATGGAAATTTACGGGGAGAAGTATCATGGGCATTTGCACAAATAGTGCAGTTACCCGAGTGTTGATCATTTTTAGGCAATAAGTTCAAAAGGATTTAGCAAGAAACTTAGAAGAT